CTAAAAACCAATGGAGAATTGTACTGTTGCAAAACCAATCCTTGGTATCCCAGTCGAACCTGCTCCTAACTTGATTTCAACATAAAAATTAGGACATCGTTTGAAAGGAGTGGCTAGCTAAAAGATTTTATCTGCTTTTTTCCCTTGAATATAAAACAATCCATATTATATCAAAGTATAGGAACCTTGAGAAAGTTCTCTCCATGTATATGTATGTAGTACTAAGAGTGCTCTACATATTTGCATTATAGCAACATTAGTCAAGTGATTCCAGGTCAAGAAACATGGGCTAGTTCGTACCATTTTTCCGATTTTCTTTTTGGCACGAAACGATGTTTGTTTAGTAGAACTCATCGGAGACTCACGGATCCGGGCACCGCGATCATTGACCTGGGATATTGTCATACGAAAAATTTCCATAAAAACTATGCACTTCTATTTTTAGATGAGTAAGAAATTTTTTTTGTTTCTACATTAAGATACGTACTGTACTTAATATTCGACCGAAATCAATTCGTAATAAATTATATTCTACTTTCGCAGATCAAGCTCCACATTATAATACAATTGCCAAATAGGCAAAACAGTTTCGAGAAGAGATTGAAGATCAAGTAAGACTTGATGGATCTGCAATCGAAACAACATTGATATGAGTCGTGATACTGTTGAACGAATTATTTTTAAGCATCTATAACTGATTTACAAACAGATGTCCGATGGTTACCCAACTTACTGATTGATACTCAACGAGCCGAATGAGTTCGGCTTTGTCAAGAAAATTGAGGAAAATTTCAGCAAAGAAAATGGCCATGTAGTGGCGCGTGATAAGTTATAGTTTTATCATAAACAAATTAATCGAAAATCATCACATACTGCTTGCATATCAGTTGGAGGAAGTCGTCTATTGTGATTCTATTCAGTGGCTTTACTTGAAAACCTCTATTTTGTATTTTTTTAAAAGCGCCTGATCTTGTGTTACTTCATTTGTTATTCATGAGAAATCATCGATAATTGCTCGTTAACTTTTATAGAGAGAAAATCCAGTCAAAAAGGCCAAGATATGGTAAAAATGTTGTAGAACTGTATCCCGACAACTCCAAACTATATGTGCATCAAGATATTTCAGAGAACATCGAATCGAAAGACTTCAAAATTATTGAATAACTACCAAATTCCTCAAATTTGGTAGCATGTCATTTTCGGTTATTCGATCTAACCAAAGAATCTAACTGATCAAACCAACTAAAAATCCTTGCAGCACGTACTATAACCCAGTTCATGAGCTCGATCAAAACAGATGACTATAAAAAAAAACTTTCGATAAATGGCTCGAACAAATGCAATTGTATGTGTAAATAATCAGAGCAACTGCTTAGATCATACCAAAAATAGTAGCGGAGGTACTTTAGTTCTTTATAAAAAGTTTTAAGAAACTTTCTTTCTACATAGTCTGATAGAGAAAAGAATGCTCTATTTTTCTATGCTATATGATCCTACTTCAACTAATATCATAACAATAAACTTTCAATAAGACTTGTTTTACTATGATATGTGCCTGATAGCACTAGTGCCTATTTAATAGATATTTTGTTGGATAACTTTTGATACAAACAAGATAGAGAACTGTAGTTTCATCGTTCGAAAGAGGAGATCAAGAGGCATTGAATGACGTGTTATAGATTTTCCTAGTATATGGTCTGCTGTTTGTTTAATGAGTTTTCTAAGTGTGGAAACAATGATTTCTTATCAAAAAGGAATTTTTCAATATAAGTCTGCTCTAAATCAATTAATATTTCAAAAAATTCGTTCAAATTTATTATATGATATCAAGCGCCATCTACAATGGCATTCGTTCCATTTGTTAGAAATAATGAGTCATGTTATGACAGAAGAAAATAAAAATAACAAGGAGGAGAAGGGTCATGTCTTACATTTTTTCCGTTTTCTTTTATAACAAGTTTCACCTCAAACGCAATGTCTTCATATCAGACAGCTCGTAAGTTTTCTCTTTTACATAACCAATGTTCTTATTAAAATTTATTTTTATTTAGCATATACACATTTCCATGAACTAATCGATACATGGACTAAACATGCACAATCAATTGAAACACAAGGTATATAAAAAACAAAAAGAAATGAAAAATTATTTTTCGGTGTATTTTTAGCAAAAAATCTATCGGAAAAAGCACGTGTGCTTGGTACTCCATCAGATACGCCAGAAATTCGAACAAGATTGTAAAAAATTGGTTTAAACAAAAAATAAAATTCTTTGTATTTTTTTTTTATTATAAGAGATGAAGATGAACGACGTCTTCATAATCTTGCAACAAAAACAAAAACTGTATTAAAAGAATTAACTGATGAAATGATAAAAAGAAAAAAAGAATTATCACGAGTAATATTTTTCGATAATTCAATCAAATAATTGATTTTTTTTTTTAATTTAAATTTTATAGAATGATTTAGATATGGTAACAAAAGTAAAAACTGCTATGAATAATGCATTGAAAAATTATGAAGATGTTATTACAGTAAATTCTCTTATTTTATTTTTTTTTTTAAATTTTTAACAAAATAATAAATTATATAGAGTATTAGCAAAAGACGTCAACAATTTCAGCCTACAACTAATGATACACTAATCGATTTGGGAAATGCAGTAAAAGAAAACAAAAATTAATTATTAGAATTTTTTAATTTTTGTTTCCTATAGAATCTTAGCGAAGATGATATTCATCAACGTTTACAATTACAGTAAATAAAAACAAAAGAGAATGATGTTAGTCGTTTTTTTTTTCTTTCTTATGTTTAATTATTTAGACAACAAATGAAAATAAATAATAATTTATTAGTTCAACAAAATGAAGAACAGTTTGCTATAGAAGAACAAGTACAACTTGTACAAGTAAGAATATCAATATAAACACAAGTATTTACATGTTATTTACGAATATTTTGTTGAGATTTATTGAAACAGATCTTATGTTACCGTTCTATTAGCGTTTTTTCTGTGAACGTAAACAAAAATTTCGTTAGTACAGAGCTCGGACTGCTACTGTCAATAGAAAAAAATAGAAATATCTTGCTACTATACTCTAATCCATTTAATGCGTGTGTGCCAGAACTATAGAGGAGGGAAGGTGTAATCTCAATAGTTCGACAACGATAACAGTTAGTGACTAGAGATTGACAATTCGCCGAGTTGTCATTGCCTCGCCTCGGAGCGAAACGAGGCGGTTTGAGATTAGACGAGTTGACTTGTCTCCTTACAATACAGTTTTTACTGAATAAATTTCAATTCTCCCTACTTATATACATTAAAAGCACTTTTTTTTTGGATAACTTTTTATGCTTTAAATGTACTTTGTTTTTTGAACCTATCTATATGCATGAAATGTACTTTGTTTTTTGGAGCTGTTTATATGCATTAAATGTACAGAGGTCGTAGCGGATCCTTATTTCCTGATTTTTTCAAATTCGTTCCAATTCACTTTAATTTTGGCAAATAATTCTCATTTTCTTAGTTTTCGATGGTCTTCTGAAAATCAAATAAATCCGAATTATTTGCCAAAAAATTTAAATGAATTGGAACGATTTCGAAAAAATCAGGAAATAAAGAAAATAAGGATCCATTGCGACCCCTAAATATACTTTGTTTTTTTAACCTATTTATATGTATTAAATGTACTTTAATTGATCTTATGAAATAAAAAAAATATAGTATTTGTTACATATAGCTGACAAAATGTATTAAAAAGTTCGTCTTTTGCCAGATTCTTAACGAGGCGAGGCAGTGACGAGACAGATTTTTAGCTACTTCGTTCATTTCTGCTGATGACATGCGGTTTTCAGCAATCAAATGAGAAGAATTCCGGATGTCTTTTTGTCTGATACCATATAAGAAAAAGTTATTTTAAAATCCTGTGTTTTCGCAAAATATTCAATGATGTTTTGTTTCAAAGAAATTTTGAAAAAAATTAGAAAATTTCCTAAAATCTAACAGAATTCTATATAATTTGACCGAATCGATATGCGATTTCGTTGGTTCAATGTTGAGATATGAGAAAACAATTATCTAAATTAGGTTTTTCACTATAGATCTGAAGTCTCTCTATCTGAAGCACATGTCAATATCAAAATTATATTGAAATTGAACACCGTTTTCACGTATTTTTTTGAATGTTTTGCAAAGATGATGCATTTTACAATAATTTTATCTTATACAGTATCCGACAAAAAGACATCCGGAATTTTTTTCTTTCGATTACTAAAAATCGCAGATCCCTAGCTATTGCTGTTGTCGATATATTCTGCTCACATCCGTCTCTCTTTAATTCTGGTGCACACATTAGTTACAAATATTATGCTTCTTGGATAGCCATTTAGACAGGAGTAGAATCAGTCTTCTTTGCTTTCAATTGTCGCTCTACTAATGTCGACTGCTGTAAGAAATATGTTCTTTTTATGAGAATCGATGATTACATCAAAAGAAGACAGATTCAGTTTAGTTCAAGGTATTTCAACTCGATATTGATTTAATTCGGATTTTTATCTTTTGCAAAAAGCTTTTTTTATATAAACATGTCTATTCTGAATCATTGTGTATCATAAACAATAATTTAAAATTCAAATATATTGTATACAGTTTTTTACCAAAGTTTCGCGGTTTGCTTAATTTGTAAACTGGTGTATGGTGTTACATCATAAATCAATGACTTCATTAGATCAAAATCAAAACATGAGACAATTAAATTTTATGATCTAATTCGAGATGAACTCCAATGTCAAGCAACACAAAAAATTAATTCATATCAAATCAATGAAAATTCTTTGTAATAAATATTATTATTTAGAATTTGATGAAGAATATTTAGAATCCTACGAGATAAACTTTTTTCGAGTCCTATTAGTTCCGTCAATCTTTTCTTTCACTCAAAATGTCCCGTGCCAAAAATTTTTGAGACTGTCCCGGAGGACTCTAGGAATATTCTTTATTCTGAGAAAAAACGAAACTTTCATGAATCACTAATCCAATCTCTAAATTTCAGCCCTACTATTTTTCAAGATTGTATAATAATTACTTAATAAAACATTTGAATTACAAATGATCTATTTATTATTTAAGGCTGATGTTATTGAAATAAATCATATGATGCGTGATATTGGTGCTATTGTTTCTGAACAATCTCCAATAATTGCTAATAGTGAACAAAATGTTTCAGCAGCAAATGATCATATAATTGCTGGTAATCAACAATTATTAGGTGCATCAAGACATCAAGTAAACTAAATAATATATATATTAATTAAAAACCTAATTTCTCTTTTTTTTTTTTAGAAAAAATATCGTAAAAAACTTTGTTGGCTTTTACTTATCTTTCTTGTGATTGCACTTATTGTTGCTATTGTTATTATTATTAAATTAAAAGCATAACAACAAATAATTAATCAAACGAGAAGCAAATTTTTTTTCTTTTTACGTGTTATTATTATTATTATTATTATTTAAATTTATAGTCGTCTATTTTCGTTTATTGATGTACAGATAGATTTTTTTTTTAATATATCAAATATGATTTAAGCAAATAAAAAATTCTCCAAGTTTTGATTTAATTTTGTTTTTTGCTTTTTTAGACCTATACATATAAAATGGCGACGTCATCAATTATCATGTTAAGTAATGTATCAATGGAACGTCTTTATTTATCACAACCACCAGCATGGAATGATTTACAACGTTTACCATTTTCATTAAATCAACAACAACAAGATATTCGTTCAAATCAACAAATTATTCGCACATGTTATGATAAACTTCTTCATCATATGTATGATATTAATTCATCATCAACAACAACAATAAATCAATTAAATGAACAATTAGAATTAGCTGCTGAATATTGTCAATTAAAAACTTTACATGATGTTAATGCTATGTATCTTCATTCGGATCAATTTTATGTTTGTATTGAATTTGATTCTTTAACACATTTACCTCGAAATGTATTTATGTGTTTTACATATGAACAACAAACAAATGAAGAACGTTTTACATGTACAAGAATGTTAAAAGCTTTAAATGAAAAACAATATAAATTATTTCGTGAACATTTAAATGGTTATGCAAGTTTATTTACATTAACAGCACCAAATATGAATAATGATAAAAGAATTGGTTATACAGCTTATAAAATACTTCAACAAGATTTAGAACGTTTATCAAAAACAGATGTTTATGGAAAATTATTAGAAGGTTTTGAACCAACTTGTGAAGGTTTACCTATGCGTATTAAATTTAATGATCAATGTAAGTTTTCATTAATAGAAGAAAAAATATAATGAAAATGAATTAGAAGTTTTAATCAATTAGATGAAATTTTTAATTGAGATAAAGGATTAGATCTATGTGATTTATTATTAATCATATGAAAAATATTTTTTAGAAGAATGGAAGTCTTTTGATTAGTTTGATTGAACAGTTCATATTATGTTAATCATCAATAACGAGAGAACGAAATATTCTTGTGTGAGAACCTTCCTAGACGCCTCTTTCTGGATTTGTTATATGGAATTTTCGCGAAAACTCTAAAAGGGTTCCAGCTCCTATGGAGTCTCGACAAAGCTATGAAATTTTTAATATGTCTACTTGCTAGAGATCCCTGTAGAGGATCTTAGGTTTTGAAACTTTCGCTACTTGAACATGTCACATGCAGTAGGTTGTGTGAAGAATTTGAAAATACCGTATCTCCGAGCAATGAATTTTTCAAAAATAGACCCCTTTCGAAGTCTATTGAATAATACAAGCATATTTTGAAAAGTTCGAATCTCTTAGATATAAAGTCTTCAAATGACGATAGTTTCGAGAAAGAAAAATTTTAAAACCTAAGGTCCTACAGCGGTAAGATGCAACAGGATGCGATCCAAGGTGATATGTGATCAAATGACAATTTACCGATGTATTGCATTAAATGACAAACAAGAAGAAAAGATGATAATCAATAAGAGAAGAGAGAGAGAGAGAACAAGAATAATATGAATAGCTGAAGAAGTGATTGACTGAAGGTAGCAATCACGCAGAAGTGCAATAGTGAAATAAACGTGTGTATAATAGAGAATAAAATTATAACAATGAAAATCAATTATTATAACTAATAAGGAAACGATTAGTAACAATCACAAACATGAATAAATGTACACACAACAAGAAGAAAGAGATAACGTAAGTAACGACTAGTACCGTCACGAGGGGTCTCGCAAGTAGACAGATTAAAAATTTAACAGCTTCGCGAATTCTTAAGAGGAACTCAAATCCTTTTAGGGTTTTTACTCGAATACTATGTAATATTCATAGACAAAAAACAATCATTGAAATCAGAAGTAGACGTCTAGAAAGGTGAAAAAAGATTTTCCGCTTTATCTGAAGAAAAAAAAAGCGGAGTACAAAATAAAAGAGAAATTGACTTCATTCTTTTTTTTATTATCTTACATATTTAATTTGATATATTTAGTAAAAAATGATCCATTATTACCAAACAATGTTCGTATAATAATTGTTCCAAGTACAACTCAACATTATTTACCAATAAAATCCAGTATATATATTGATGAAAAAAGCAATACAATACAATTTGATACATCTCTAAAATCTAATCATCTTGCAACAGGTCATTTTGCACTTGAATTTGATGAAAATCAATCACCATTTATATTATTATTAACATATGCACAAGAAATAGGTCATTCAACAAATATAAATAATTTTTATACAAATACAAAAACATTTAATTATCTTTCAACAATATTACCGAAAACAAAATTACTTAATCAATATCAATGGTATATATCACATGATCAATTATCAATTGGTATACGTCGAATACCATTTACAAATATAAAACAATTAATACATATATTAAATTTAATACGACAACAAATTTATTTAACTAAATATTTAAATTATTATTTAAATTATAATTATGAACATGAACATATGGATGATGATAATAATAATAATAATAATAATGATATATATCTTGAATTATCATTTTTATCATCAACTATATTATCAATAACATGTGCACAATCATATCATTTATTAACATTTTTACTTCAAATGTCAAATATAAATACATCACCATTATTAATTAATCGACAACAACAAAAAGAAATTTATTTAACAAATGAAAAAAATTCACTATTAAATATAATTGAAAATATTCTTAAAGAAAATTCTACAAAACCATATTTATCAATAACAAATAATGATAATAATAATACTAATAATAATAGTAATAATAATAATAATAATAATAATAAACAAATTAATCATACACAAGAACAATTAATAAATTCAATAAATTTAACAAAATTAAATCGTCGTTTATCATGTGGTCCACCAGCTAAATTAACATGGCGACGTGCAACAACATTACGTCGTAATCAACCAGCGTGTTTAACATTAATATCAATGGATAATAATCAAGAAAAAATTGATGACGAGCAATTAATTGATGATGATATTCATACAAATATAATTAATGAACATTTTGATCATGATGATAATGATGCATTTATAAATTCACCTGAACAAAATCAACAACAACAACAACAACATAATCATCAATTATTATTACCAAAACCATCATTAAACGTTTATTCATCAACATTAAGTCGTTGTACATCAGTATCATCAACACAATCTATTTCAACACCACCTTTGTTTGGTTTATCACCATCAACACCTTATCCTGGTGGACGAAATAATCCCACTGGAAATATTTTTTTTCCATTAGGTAAACAAATATCTGTACCAGATTATAGTCCAGTTACTTCACCAATTACAATGGGTACATTTGATCCATCAGCTTTTTTACCAACAAATCCAGCACCATCATCAAATCTTATGCCACCAACAGATACAAATAATAAAATACAACAAAAAAAGAAACGAAGAAGATCAGAACATTCAGCTGATGATTTTATACATACATTAAATAATACATCTAATGGTAAGAATTATTTACAAATCAAATTTTTTATATCGAGGTTATTCATAGAATTAATGTGCAGAGTATTCAAAACGTCCGTGCGAATATCTTTTAAGCAGTAGGAAATTTTCTATTTTGAATAATATGGCAGGATGCTCATTTGAACTTTTCGATAAACATCTTTGACTACAGATATTATAATTCAAGTAACGCCGTATTCCTATTAACAGGTTTGGATGAAAGATCTTCGGAAAACCGAGACTCTCAAAACTAGTTTTCTGGATTCTATCAAAAATATTTTGTAAACAAGTTCATCTGATCGAAAAAGTATTTTGATGTCTCCGAGCTATCTTCAACGATCTACACTCATTCTACGAAAGGTCTTGAAGTGTAAAACACAGTAAATTCATATCAATTTTCATAAAAACAGCAGAAAAAAGCTCGTTAGGTCTATCGCACAATGATTGCCATTCGCTGAAGATAGGTCATGGAGAGCTTGGAGACATCAAAATGTTTCTCTATCAGATGAATTGGTTTATAAAACGCTTTTGATAGAATCTAGAAAACTAGTTTTATAGATCTTGGTTTTCCAGAAATCTTTCATCCAAATCTGTTAATGAAAATTTGCCAAGTACCTCTTCTATTAGAAAATTGTTTCAACTAATCAAATCTTTTCTTCGACTTGTTCTAGTTGCTACGATTGATGAAAATAAGTGAAAAATATTTCGTTTCGAAACTTTTTTGCTTCCAACTTATATTCACGAAATGAAAATCTCAAGTCGATTTTGACACAAAAAAACTTAAGACGTAAACAGGATGAAAGATATTTTTTCAGTATTGAGTGGCCAATGAAGACATGAACAAGTATAATTTTGTCCAACAACTTCACGAAGGAGATTCACAAAATCGAGTTGAAGTTACACGACTTTGATATCAATGTTAGAAAAGACGAAATCGCTCTTATTTAAATGGTTTACTCATAGATATGAAATGCAAATCGATAACGAAAATGAATTAGTTCAAAAATAAACTTTTCCTAATTGTTTTAAACTAAATTCTATCAAAAAAAAAACATGAAAATTGTTTGTATTGATTGACAAATATTCACATGTTTTTTTTTTCATGGCTTACTTTTTGAGACATCCTATAGAAATTAACGAATGCGTTTAATTACCTTATGAATTTAGAAATTTTTATTTTTCGTCAAATTAAAAAATATCACAAAGATTAGATTCATTTTTACAAAATTTTCAATTGTCTGTTTAATATTTAATGAGAAAAAAGAAATCGTTGAATAAACAGCAATGAAAATCGCAAATTTCTCAAATTCATTTGACTCATACAAAAATTAAATTATATCAAAAGAATTGTTCGATTATGAAATTTATTAAATCTTAAACATCATATTTTTTTTTATTTCTCAATTTAGATAATCGGTCACTAATGC